TAAACGAATATAGAAATATAAATACAGATTCTTAAAAGTGCTGTGCAGAAGTTGAGTAGTGGAGATATGAGAGATACACAGCAGAGGAAGGGATCCCATGGAACCTTGGCCAGGGTAGGCTTGCTGTTGAGCCAGCTATTCGGAGATTCTGGACCCAGAGGATAGTAAACAACAGGCTCAGATGCCATAAATTCATGAGTAGATCTCATGGGCAGAAGGGATTTCAGTGTTCATGGAAAGTAGCTAGACGGACAGGGCTAAGCTGTCTGGGAGAGGCAGGCAAACAGATGCATCTCGGAGATAAAACATCAATCACAAGTAGGTTCTGTACGGGGAGGAACAGGATAAAAGTAATGAGAGAAATAACAGGATATAGATTTCAGATTTTAAAATAGGGTTTTATTTGTGTGCGTGGATGCGTGCATGTGTGTACATGTGCATGTGTCTGTGTGAGTGTATTCACATGCATGTGTATAGGTATGTACCTTGGCATGTGCATAGGGGTCAGAAGAGGGCCTCAGGTGTCCTAGTCTCTATTACTCCACCTCTTCCTTTGAGTCAGGGTCTCTGTTTGAGTGGCAGGTTGGTAGTTTTTCAGCTAGGATGGAAGCCAGCAAGCCCCAGAGATCCTCCTGTCTTTTGACTTTGACCTGGAGCTCCAGCCATGCAGGAGACGCTAGGCTTGTCTGGGAACTGAATCTGAACTCCAGCTCTTGTGATTGTGTGACAAGCACTCCTAACCACTGAGCCATCTCTCTGGCTTTGGATTTTAGATTTTTGATCAAGCAGCTCTTGTCAGAGTGTTGACCGCTCCCTCTGTGGACAGGAGCATAGTATATATGGTCAGTTCCTTGAGAGTCTCTTATGTGGTTATAATGGTTCAAATAATTTTTGTTTATTAAAAATGCATTATCAGCTCAGTGGCAAAATGGACTGCCTTTCCTATCCTTTATCTGTTACACGGCTATTAGTTTTAGTTTTTAAATGTAAGCTTTACTTTAAAATGTTCTTGATTGGGGGCGTGTCTCAGTAGTGGAGTATTGACTTGCCAGGCATGAGCCTACTCCTCCAGCTCCAAATTGAATGAAAAACAGAAATAAAAATGGAAGGCTATGACTTCTCCTAGATATGGTGGAGGAAAAGAGTTTTTGTACATATGAGGAAGAGCATAGCCAAAGGCAGAGACTTCTGGGAGAGTCCAGAGTGAACATGACCCTGAGCTGTGCAATTCGAGGAAAAGAGGAGGGAGAGAACCTGGAGACTAAAGGGCCAGGTAACCAAATGTCTGGATTAGATAAGGAGCAGCAGCTGGGGAAGAGCAGCCCAGCCCTGGACTGAAAGGGTTAGAGAGCAGGGTATGCTAGTAACATGTGACAGGTGGGGACTGAAGGATTCTGGGGGAATCTGGCTGCCAGGGCTGCTTTAATATGTTAAACAGGCACCTCAGCCATTTGTCCTGGGTTCAGGAGCTAACACAATACCTCGAAGAAACTGAGATGAAGTGAAGATGAGTTTATTATCAAATTTCAGGCTTTGATGAGATGTCCTTGAGTATGATATGTGATGAAACATAACTTTAAATTACTTCTCGAGCAAACCACATTCCCCTCCAACAGATGAGTCACTTCCATGAAGAATGTTCTTGCAGATGTTTGAAGAAGAAGTGGAATAGCTGGTTTTTTTTGTTTTGTTTTTTGTGAGGAATGATTGACAGCTTTTGACAGCAAACTTTTGTAAATATTTTCTTGAAAGTTATTATGAAGACAAACTACTAACATAATTTGTGCCACTAATAAAATTCAAATATCATTATTATTATTACTATTATTATTATTTGGTCACTTTTGAAACAGGATCACTCTACATAGCTCTGGCTTTCCTAGAATTCACTTTGTAGATCAGGCTGACTCGAACTCAGAGATATACCTGCTTCTGTCTCCCCTGTTGAGATTAAAGGTGTGTGCCACCATGCCCTACTGAAATTCAAACTTTTGAAGTGAGGATATAGGAAAACTTATGTTCATCACTGTGTAAGATTATCCTGGTATTTAAAGATGAAACTTTTTTTGATAAAATGAATTGGTGATATTGACAATGAAGACTTTTAAAAGTAAAGCATAAAGGAATGTTTGCCACTTAAGAACTCTCAGTTAACTCTGTGATTTAAAAATTTCCAGATGTCATAATGTTACAAAAAATCTATGAGTTAAAGATCTACTCAGAGGGCAAGGTGGACAACTGGATTTTTCGAAGGATAAAAGTTCATTGATTTGAGTGCAAAATCCATGATATAGTTAACTCCGAGTTTATTCTCTGTCAGGTTTGATGCTGTATTAAAGGTGACTACTGGGAACAGTAGGAGATGACTATTAAAATGCTTCTTTCTTTCCAATCACGCATTATTATAGAAAGCCAGCTACATATCATTTCTTAAGTTTTACATACTGTTTAGGTAGATAGCACATCAACTGATTCAGTACAACAGCTACATTTATGATTATGGGTATCAAAGACCTATGTACGACATAAAGTAATGGTGACCATGTGACTAAGTTTTTGAAAAATGTAGCTGCCACACCCTAGTCTGATCGCGAGCTTCCTTCCGCTCAGCGAACCTTTGGATGGTAGTCCTCCATCACCCACCAACCTTAGTTTGAAATTTCATACAAAATGTGCTGCGTTGTTGTTGTTTGTTTTGTATTTTGACGCGTTATTTTCCTTCCCAGGCTCTCATTTAAGCCTTGTTACTCATTCCTGATCATCATTTGCCATGTTAACCAGTATCTTCGAGTTCCTGATCATCATTTGCCGTGTTAACCAGCGTCTTCTAGTAACAGCATTTTCCCTTTTTGGTTTAAGGATTAACGACAAATTAGTTGAATTTGTTGATGCTTTTCATCATTAACTTTATGCTGAATTAGTATCAATAATCACTTGATGTCTTTGCGACAAGTACATATGTAATCATTGACTAAATATCCACTCAGCTGCCTATTTATTCCAGACATTGAGCCAAGCATTAGAAATGTTCTATAGACAACGGGAATATCAGAAACATGGACTTTGCAATCTAGAAGATGAAATGTATGTTAAACATATTTCACATATTAGAAGTGTTTTGCTTCAGTTATTCAGGGTTAGTAAAAGGACATAATAGTTGGCGAGAAGGCTAAGTGTGTGACGCACTTGTTTGTTTTTCTTTTGTTTTTCGAGACAGGATTTTTCTGTTTGTAGCCCTGGCTGTCCTAGAATTCATTCTGTAGTCTAGGCTGGCCTTGAACTCACAGAAATCCGCTTACCTCTGTTTCCAAGTGCTGGGAATAAAGGCGTGTACTACCATTGACTGGCTTATTTCTTCTTATATTCAACTACAGAATTGCATCTCAAAAACATTTTTAAAAGTGGAATTAGACAGATTCTGAAATTAATATTGAAGTTAAATATGTAATTAGGCAGAATAAGTACTCTTATTTTGATAGGTTTTTTGAGACCAGTTCTTACTAGGTAACCCTGTCTGACCTGGAACTCATAGTGATCTTCCTGCCTCAGCTTCCCAAATGCTATGATTCACAGGTGTGTATCACCATGCCTGATTATCAAGATTGTATAGTAACCCAGGTATGGTGACACACACCTTTGATCCCATAGTTCTGGAGCAGAGAGAGATGAATCTCTCTCTTTGAGTTCAAGGTCAACCTGGTCTATATAGCTAGTTGCAGAACAGCCAAGGCTATGTAGAGAGACCATGCGCCCCCCTCCCCGCCCAGTTATTTTATTATAAATCATTGCTAGTTAGTACTGTATTTTTGTATTATATATGACAGTAGCTAGGTACATAATGCACTGTAGTTTAGATGCCCATAGACAGGAGGTTTAAGCATAAACCAACGGGTCTCTCAACAGAAAGGAAAGAGAAGCTAAAACAGATCCAGTCTCCTGGGTATTGCTGAGTAATTGGTTTCAGGATCTTCTGATTTTCCACGGATACAAAAATCTGATGGTACTCTGGTAACCCTTATGTAAATGAGGGCTTATGTATCTTAAGCCATTATATAGCATCGTATAACATATACCCATATACTCTGTGAGCATCCCCATGCAATGTAGTATAAAGGTTCTGTAATGTGTTGCTATATTGTTCAAGGAATAATGACAAGCAATGTCTATATGGGTTCTGAACTGACATAGCCCTGTGAATACAGAGTGCTGATTGTGTGTCTCTGTGTACAGAGTCACTTGACACAAGACAAAGATGAGAGAGCGGCACTGTGGCAGGGTGGAAGAGCACTGTTTTCAAAGCGAGTGCAATTGGGTATCCATAAGGACAACCAATTTCTTTTGTTATATAAATATAATTCCAGACAGCAGTCTAAGGATGGAAGAATAAGCAATAAATAGAAAGGGGAACTTAGAGTAGGGAACTGATTGATAAGTAGCTTCTAAGGCATTCATCAGAGAGAAGACTGATTATCTACACTGACTGCATTAACATGATGAATTTCTGTTTAGCGTTGAGAACGTTTCCCACAACTCATGTGGCTAAAGATCAAATTTGCAGTGCAAAGGACCTATATCCAGAGTATTGTTGCTACTCTCTAAAGGGTATTCTAAAGTAAGTGTAAAAGAAACGAATGCAAGTATTAGATGTACTGGTATTTTTAGAATGTAAAGAATAGATACATTTTCGGGATGCCAGGCACTGAGCCCGAGTCTGAGGAGCTTTGCATGCTATTACTTCTCTCAAGCATGGGCTAAAGAGGGATGTCCTTCATCTGCTCGCCTGCAGAAGTGGAAGTGGTGTGCCAGTGAATGATTGTTCGAGCTAAACAGAGCTTGGGCTTAGCAGGTGTCGGCAATGGAAGCAGAGGGTGGGGAGGTGTTTTAGTGAAGTGTTCGGAAGCATCTCAGGAACTTATATTTCTGTGCGTGTGTCAGCCCCGTGGGAATGGTGAGAATTGGTAACAATTGCGTCCTTTAAATTTCAACTTTCCGTTTTGCAGAGTCCTGAAGTTCCCAGTTGAGTCAGAATGGATGAGCAATCACAAGGCATGCAGGGGCCGCCTGTTCCTCAGTTCCAGCCACAGGTAATGTAATTAAGGAGGGACAAGTGGATTTCTCTGTTAAATCGGTGGGAGTAAATTCACAGCTGCAGTAAAAGCGTGGCAAAATGTTCATTTTGAATTTCCAAGTTGTAGTCAGAATTACTGGCTTCCAAGTGCTTCCTAATGCTTGGTTCTCATCTAGAACATGACAGGAAGCCAGCTCTAGCTTATGATTTCATCTCATTGTCTTCTTTGCTTTGAGGGTTACTGCTAGTCTTGGTGGAGTGTGTGGGGGGTGAGGTTTGGGGTGTCTCTGCATTTTGTACCCACTTCTGCTTTGGCTGGCTGCTCTCGACTTCCATTATTCATTCTCATTCTCTCTCTCTCTCTGTCTCTGTCTTTACCTTCCCCCTCCCCCCTCTCTTTCTCTTTCTCTTCCTCCCTCTCTCTCTCTCTTTCTGTCTGGAAATTTTTTTTATTATGTTATTCCTTATATCTTGCAATGTAAAATGAAGTAGGAAGAGCATTTTTGTAAAACAATGTGTACATACTGTTGAAATTCAACTTGGAGTTTCCCTGCATTTGTTGTTAAGGCCCCCTGCAAAGCCCCATATGCAATGGATGGTTATAATCATCAGCTTTACTCTCTGAGGTGGCACCTCATTGTCACTATTGTCTGTCACCCAGGCTGAGAAGCAGCCCGGTATTGAGAAATCTTCTATAGCAGGCCTCACTCATGCTCTGCTGGCCTTGCTTTGGTTTTGCTCAGAGGTTCTCAGTGTTGAGGACCCAATAGGACTTACACGTGAACTCTGTAGTGGAGTGGGTTTGTGGCAACGTCCCCTCAGACTTCTGTGTGCAAAAGCAAGCATTTATGGTGCCCGTATTGGTCTGCACACTTGCTTAGTCTGTGGTTTCATTTGATTCAATGCGTCTGTTGGCTTCTCCAGAAGCACAGCTCAGAAATGCAGCCTACAGAAAACTTTTAGCCTCTGTGAGGACACCCATGTTCTACCCTCCCTCCTGCTCTCTAGTTTTTAAAATCTGCTCCATCCTTCCGGAACCATCTGAAGAGCCAGCACTGCAGTAGGGCCTGTCCAATCTTCCAGTCTTTTCTCGGAAACTTGATGGTTGATCTCAATCTCTCTTCTGGTGTTTCCCGAGTCTTTGTTATCTTTGTTTCCTTTGCTCATATGGGCTTTTTCCTCAGCTCTCCTTATTAAGCTAAAACCTTGTGGGAAAGGATACATTATTTTGTACACTATTGAATTCTTATTTTTAACATGTAGTGGGGCTCAGTTAGATACAGAGTTGAAGCCAATCAGGATGTCCTTAAAAAGACCATGTTTAATTCGTTCTCAAAATACTTTTTTTTACATTGTGTTGCTTTGTTCTCTGTACCTGAGTTTTTGAGTATTAAGGAAAAACCATTTAGAGGAAGGACACTTTGGCTTTCAGGATTGGCTTTATCAAGTCTGTCTGCAACTTTGTAATGGTCTTAGGTTACATGATCAAGATTGTTATAAGCAAATGGTATTAGCTATATCTGATGATGAGACACTGAGACACCATAATTTCATATTGCACCGTTCCCAGCAAAGACAATAAATGAACACCTCTAAAAATTAGGGAGTTCATGTTGTGATTTTGAAGTTCACAGTTTTGACTGGTCCTATGCTTCAAAGAAAAAAAAAACCCTTTTTTTTTTTTTTTGCCTCCCACTGACTTGCCAACCAAGAAAGGTCGGGGCGGCAGTAGGAGGCAGAAATGAAAGTAATCGTTTTCTTATGAGACACTAGGCTGCCACACAGTCTAAATTTCAAAATCATAGAGCCGGTTCTGCATTTCTTTTCACACCGGTCCTTTCCTTTCTGCCTCCCGCTGTTGCTCCTGTGTGGGTGGATGGCTCTCCCTGTTGGAAATAGGCAAGTGTCATCCCAGGCTTTGGCTGCTTTGTGGCATATGGGGGGTGGGGGAGGAGCTTTCCTTTCTCCTCCTCTCTGCCTTCAGACTGATGGTGTGAGACAGCGAAAGAAAGATTACCTGACAAGAGCTTATAGGCGTTATTGCTTATTAAGTCTTTGAGAAGTGTTCCTGCTCTCCATAGCATTTTAAAAGACAGGGAAGGACAGCCTGGGCTTAGGGTTGACAACCTTCCTTTGTTTTGTTCCACACCATTGGCCTGAATAATGGGGGTGATATGGTAACATATGGTTAGCCCAGTGACTCTTCACTTTTGTAATGCTAATGGAAGTGTGGACACAAACAGAAACCTAAAGAAGTCAGCCTTCTGTGTGTCAGACACCAGTTCCGATGGAGTGATGAGCAGTGTATGTTCTTAGCGTGTGACTTTCCTCCTCCTTCCTTGAGAGGCACCTATAAACCCACACATAGCTCGGGCCGTGTGCTCTCAGTTTTAGTACGGTATCAATCCCTTTGTGTTTAAGGTTTAGAATATTGAACCTATGTATTTTTATTTGCTTATTTTTTTTGCATTACTGCTGCTCTTGTGAAATTAAGGCACATTTTTTTATTAGCTTTTCTGTTCTCCCTCAGTCGTACGCCCTACCATCTAGAGAACAGTGAATGCACATTTCATTTGATTCTTCTGTATTCATTGTTCAAGCCTCTTGTGCAACAGTAGATTTTCCTTTTCCTCCTTTAACTCAGACTGTATAGAAGATGGGGACAGAAAAAGTAAAATAATACAGGAAGATTACTATTAAACAATGGAATTTTATATTTATATTTCAGTGGAGCTTTATGACAGTTTGTGACTGTTTTCATATTTAGATTTTAAATGAGGAGAGTTTATGTTGCCTATCTACTTTTTAATTCTAAAATTATATAGCAGCAATCAGAGTGTAATTCTAAGAATTTCTAAGAATATTAATTTTAATAGTGATTAGAGGCTTGAGTTCTGGGGATTTCTGCTTTTTTTTTTAATCATTTGAAATATTGTAATATGGGCTATTTGTGGAAGAGAACATACAGCAGAACTGCATGTAAAAACCAGCCCGTACTTTTACAATTTGCAGACTATGACGACACCATTTTAGTGTCGGCTTCTTAACCACGACGTGACGTGAGCTAGCCGTTCTTTTACGCTTCCTGGCAGCATTGACTAGTATCCACTTAGGATTTTGAGTGTGTGACATGAGCAGGATGCTGGAGGTCAAGTGCCCCTTGCTGCATGCTCAGGAGCTGACAGACTGTGGACAGGAGGAAGGTAGCCTCCTGGTGGCTCACAGTGAGCAAAAAAAATACAAGGGTTTGCTCAAGATCGTTACACTGCCTTCTCTTTCTAGTTTATCTACCAGTTGTACCCCAAGCAGTAAGGTTCATTTTGCGTGCTTTGATAAGTTTGTCCTGTGAAGATACCTTGTAATAGGCACTGAATAGAGATTATACTTTGAGAAGTCTTTATTTCAATTTAGGTATTATAAGTCATATGGGTTTTATGAATATAGGCACAGGGCGATAAGCTGTGACTACAGTTTTGAGGAAAGTTTTGTTGGCCATAATTGAGCATTGTGGCTTGATCCTTCAGGAAAGTCTGAGGCTTCTCCCTGGTCACAGACGTAATCTAGAAGATTCTACCCATCTTCCTAAGTGTCTCTGCTTTCTTGTTCTTCTTTCCTGTGACCCCAAATGTATCATCCCCTGACCTCACAATCAGCTCACAGGTCCTGAAAATCACACATTTCTCAGCTACAGTCTGTGTTCTGGTAGTCTGCCTCTAGTTATAGGATGAACCTACTGAACAGCCCTCACCTGTCCCAAATTTTCAGTAGAGCCAGATCTTATGTTATCCCCTACTCAGTTCAGACTTTTCTAGAAAGTGATGTTTATACTCCAGTCTCCATTTCTTTCTTTTCTTCAGTTTACAGTGTGTAAGCTCCTCCCCATCTTACCATGCGAGCTACTTGGGCTTCATCTTACTATCTACATTGGAAAATAGTTGATTGTTCTCTATTCTGTGAAACCCTTCCTTCTCCTAGAATCCATACATCTGTTTTTTCCTGAGGCCAGTCTTACTGGCCTCCCTTTGCCCTCTGTCTCCTTACCTTCAACCACCTTAGTAATGGATTCCCTGAGGCTTAGTTTTTGCATATCTTCTTTGCCCATTTGTATCCACTACCCGGGCTCTATTCCATTCTTAAATTTCATATACACGAATCTCAGAGTCATCTGAACCGGGAATTCTGCTTCTCCCAAATTTATTATGTGCAACAGCTTTCCCAATGTGGGACTGTGTGTCATAACCACAGTGATCTCAAGCTGGTCCTACCTCCTACTTTACCTACCCCTCATTTTCTGAAACCAGTTGTTAGCCAGTCCATTCTTCTTGTAACTGAGGCTGGAACATCCCTGTCTTCTTTCTTTTTCTCTGTTTATGTCTGATTTATCAAGCATCACTAGCTGTATATTTAAAACATTTTTAGAACTGTGATTTCTTACGGCTTCATTCCCTCCACCAAGCCAGAGGTTCTGCTGTGTTGTGAGAGCTCCCTCAGTGGTCTTGCTGCCTGTCCCCATCTGTCTCTTTCAGCACAGCATTCAGTAACCAGTATAAAGTGGTGCTTGTCTAAGATGTAATTGCTCATTTGCTCATCCATCATTTTCATATATGTGTGTGTGTGTTTGAAGTAGTATGTGGTTGTGTGTGTGTGACCTTCTTTAAGCATGAAGTGAAAACTGAATCTCCCTAACCATATAATACACCTTTGTTGGCATATTTTTCCTATAAATCTATTGTTTTCTCATTGTTAATTTTGCTCTTTGTTTTAGATTGTAAACTGTGTTACTAGCCTTATGGTACACACAGTAGTCAGGCAGTACAGTTTTCTTTGAACAAATACAAACTTGGTTCCAAATCAACCCATCTTTATTTTTTTCAAATATCACCTTTAAATAATGTCTGATACATATTCTATATTACATAATAATCTTTGGAATTTCCAGAATTATATATGCAACTTCTCTCATTCTCTATATTTAAAGTTTATGGGTTTTTTTCTCTACTATGACCTTTCTAGAGT